CAAATTGGGAGTTACTAGGAAAAAAAGAGCAGAGTTATAGAGCAAGGAAACGGTTGACAGAAGACTTGAAAAGTTAAAGGTTGTATGAGTCAGGGAAACATGAAGATGGGAGAGAGTTCTAAAGGATTGATATGCGGGGAAAAAAACTAGATGAATAAAAGTTTTTAGAACATGCAGGGACAGATACAGTAAACGAATGAGACTTAGCTGAATGACGAGTAAAACGAGAATGAATTTTAGTTGATGGAACTAGAGATGATGACTCCTTTGAGCAGTGACCATGATAGTATTTGTAGAAAAGAGAAAGAGATGCAACTTTACGACGATGGGAAAGAGTTTCAAGCTTAGCAGATAGTCCAGGTCCAACAACATTTACAATGCGTTTTTGGACCTTGTCAAGAAGAGAAAGTTAACTTATTTGTTATGAACGAGGAGCACCTCTAAAAGATTGACACATAATAAGGTGACATTGAAAATCGAGAAGCTACAAGTTTTTCAAACTTTTAATGAGTGCACATTAGGTTTCAAACTGCTTGTGATCCTGAAGGTAAACTATTGTAAATTTAAGGTATTAGCGGAAAGATCAAAAATGTCAATACTTAAAGTCTACTGATACAAAATTTAAGCAACGAATAAGACTTGTCAAAAATGGTATTTAAGGACTGAGAAAAAAAAAATTTTCGTCAAAAATGACATAGTTTAAAAAATGTTAAATTTTTCCGAATTTTTAAAATTAAATAGAGATTAACTGATTTGCCATTCACCAAAAAAACTTAATTTTGAAATGATACACACTGTTAAATAGAATTAACTCTTAAATATAGTTAACACGAGATTTTTTATTGCGTCCTCCAGTGAGTAGAAACAATGGGTGGAAACTGAAATGAAAATAAGAAAAGAAAAGTTATAGAAAAATATAGTTTGTAATTACAAATTATTCTTAATAGAATGGTTGATGAACATCATTCTTTACCTAGCTGCACATAATTAAATTTACAATGGAGTTTAGATGTTTACACCGCAAGACAGCAAATTCTTAGTGCTGTTACACTTACTTAAAAAGTTACACCTGTCATACTAAACTATTTAACATTTACAATGAAAAGGTGACACTTTAGATCATAACTGAAGAAAAAATTAAAGATTGATTTTTCATCAAACAATAAAGTAGCAATTAAAATACACTTTCTATGCTTCTTTTTTGTATACAATTCTACTGGCTTAAAGATTTACTGAAGTTTTTTACCGGCTTGAGACGCTGTAGTTTTCTACTTGAAAACCTAAAAACTTAAAGTTTGGATTAAGTTGCTGACTAAGTCTAGACTTTACCACTTTATCTGAAAAGGTTTGGAGCTGAACTCTATTATTAAAGAGGTCTAGGTATTAAAATGTGTTAAATATATTTTTAAAATAGAAAATGTAAAAAAAAAAGTATTTTAAATGTTTTAGTAAATAAATTCTTTAGCTTAGTTTCACGCGGCAATCATTATTTAAACTTGGTAATTAGTGGTTGAAAATTCTTTATTCTCGTGACTCATTAATTACACGGTAAAATCTATAATAAATATAAATTATTGGCAAATGAAAAAATCATTCTCCGGTTTCCTGCCACAAATGGTAAGAGTCGATAGCAAATTTTTATATGAACCAAAAACTATAGCTCAAGAATTTAACAAATATTTCACTCATATAGTGCCAACACTGTCTTAAAATATCCTTAAGACCAAATCTTTGTTTACTGATTATTTAGAACCCCTATTTAATTGCATTTGTTCAGATGAATTATCTTCTGAATCAATGTTTGATAAGTTTGAAAGTGCTTTCAAATCTGTTTAAAAAATTAGAGCAGTAGGATCAAATTAATAGAAACGTGGTTAGAGATTGCTTTGAACAGTTTAAAGTTGTTCTTTTTCAAAGCGTTAGGGCTTCTATTCATCAAGGAGTATTCCCAGAATAACTAAAAAATGACGAAACTATTCCTAGTTTTAAAGAAGGGGACAAATCTGAAATCAGTAATTATCGCTCCATCTCTGTTTTCTCCAAATTTTCGAAATTTCTAGAAAAAATTATGTTTAACAGAATATACAAATATTTTCATAATAATTATCTACTTTGCATCAATCAATTTGGTTTCAAGAAAGATAACTCAACTGAACATGTAATTATACAATTTGTACGTGAAATCTCAAAATCATTTGAAAAATCAGAATATACACTAGAATTTTTAATGACATATCAAAAGCTTTTAACGCGGTTGATCAACATATATTGATTTATAAACTCAAATACTACGGAATAATAAATAAAATTTTAAAATGGTTTAAATATTATACATCTAACCAAAAACAGTTTGTGCCATTTAGCAATAATTATCAACCCACTTTTCTTAATATAACTTGTGGAGTCCCACAAGGTTCAATTCATGGACCTCTTGTTTTTTTAATTTATATAAATGACTTAAATAAAGCTTTAAAAATAAAGAGCATTATAAATGTCGATGATGCAAGCTTCTTTTCTAACTATGATATCGCTGAACTTGTTAAAACAGTGAACGAAAAACTCAGACATATATCTATTTGGTTCAAGTGTAATAAGTTAACCTCGAATAGTAACAAAACAATGGACTTTATTTTATTCGATACAAAAAAGCAATTTCTCCCATCAAAATTACCTCAAATCTTTTTCTATCAAAAGGAAATAAAAAGAGATTTTGTTTCATAATTTTTAAGTGTTTCTTTTCATCAAAACATTACTTAGAATCACCATATTGATTATACAAACACACAAATTTCTAAAAATATGGGGATCCTATATAAATAACAAATCTATCTTAATAAGAAAATCTTAATCCAAATTTATTATTCATTTATACATAGCTATTATAATTATACCAATATATTGCTTTGGGAAGTACAGAAAAAAGTAAGTTTTATCTCCGTCTTTTTATCAACGTCTTTTCCTCCATCAGAAACGCGCAATCCGTAAAATCAATTTTGCAAATTGCTTCTCTCATTCTAAGAATTATTTTATTGAAAAGAGAATTCTAATTACATACGCGTTAAATGTATTTAATATTTTATGTTTTGTATATATGTTGATAAATAACTTATCCCTAGCTGTCTTCAAAAATGTTTTTATTTTAAACCAATCGGTAAATATATTTTGAGAAATAATAACTTTTTAAATGAACCTTTTTGTCAAACAAACTTTAATATATTTTGTATTGCCTATCGAGCGCCTCACCGTTGGAATAAAATTGTTTTGCCAAATTTTAGTTTTGAAGTGCCTGTTACTTTTTGCCTTTTTTTAAAAAAAAACTGAAAAATTTTATTCTTTTATTAGATAATATATTGATTTATTATTAATAGTAAATGTTAAAAATATATTTTGGTCTACTTTTTTATTATTTATATAGATGTTTACGTTTATAGAAGTTTACTCCTACTTTTTTTATTTATCGTTTTTATACTTTTTACTTTTTAATTTATATGTTGGTTTACTCTTGTATAAAATTCTCATGAGATGATCCTCTTGATCTTTCTTTAGACACAGAAATTTAGAAATTATTTTAAATTGCAATTTTGTAAAAGTTAATTAAGTTTAAGGTTCTGATGACAAGATCCTTGTGATTTTCTTTCAGATTCCTTGTTTATATTTGTTGTATTTTCTATCACTGTAAGTTTGTATTATTATTTTTATTATTGGTTATATAAAGCTCTACAACGACTAACACATGAAAACCGAAAAAAAAAATGTAAACCGAAATAAAAAATTAAAAAAAAAAAATAATTTTTAATTCAAATTCAGAAATATTTTCTGCGATGAATAAAATATCCCTTTGAACGTTATTATTCCTCAGGCGCGGATGCAGCATTTTTTGATGTTTTAAATACCTTACTTTCAGACATGGAGCAAACTCGAAAAATTAATATATTTATACTTATATCAAACAAGGATGCTTTGCAAAAAATTGCACCAATTGGAGCCTGGAACAAAAAAGCCCTAAAATTTTAGCTACACCTGCCCCAAACGTGAGAGCAACAAGTTGATAAAATAATTTTTATACTATTCTTAACTAAATCTGTATTCATCGATATATTTTAAAATTTACACAATAATCTTTTAGCATTCAAAAAACTATGACCATAAAAAGTTTGAACCCCTCTCAGGGGCTGCAAATTTTATAAGGCCATACTTGTTAAACACTAAGAGATTATTGTGTGAGCTTTAAAATTTATCGATGAATATGTAATTGGTTGAGAATAGTATAAAAATTATTTTATCAACTTGATGCTCTCACGTTTGGGGCAGGTGTAGCTAAAGGTTTAGGGCTTTTTTGTTCCCAGACTTCAACCACCGCAATATTTTACTATCCTTATTTGATATAAGTATAAACATGTAAATTTTTGGAGTTTGCTTCATGTCTGGAAGTTAGGTATTTAAAACATCAAAAAATGCTGTATCCGTGCCTGTTCCTTATTGTGTAAATTATTTTTTTTTGCAATATACTTTTTTTAATTTGATTTTTTTATTATTATTATTGTTTCTCATGCTTTTTTATTATTTATATACATGTTTACGTTTATACTAGTAAATTTATAGAAATATCATTGGAAGTCATAGAGGCGCAAAAAATGCTAAAACCTAAATATGAGGCATAAATGCTACAAAAAATGCTAAAACCATCATATGAGGGATTTTTTACATATAAAAAATTTTACACATAAAAATGCTAAAACCATCATATGAGGGATCAAGTTTTACATAAATTATATGATTTAAACATTCAAGGTTTGATTTCAAAGAAGAAGATTTCATATACGTTAAATTTTTTATTTATATTTTGTTTTATTATTAATTTGTTATAAAATATCAGGTGAAAATATTTAAAAAACATATTTACCAAAATTTTTACCAGTTTGGTAATAATTACTTACTGCGTCTAAAAAAAAACAGAGCTAAAAGAAACGGTTGAAATTTTATTTTTAGATAAAACCAATACAAAACATAACAAGCTAAAATTTTTCCGTAAAAACTGATTTCTCTTTGCCTTTTTTTTTCTTTGCTGTAAAATACGGTAAAAAGCGATTTAGTTTAAAAAACTTTCTATTATATCTAACTGAATTTACAAGGGGATTATAAGCTATAAAGGGAAAAAATATTCCTACTTGTTGTTCACTTACATAGGGAGGAAAAACAGCATAAATTTCTTACAGAAACTTGAAAAATTGAAATTTTTTTCAAAAACATTGAAATTTTTCAAATTTTTGAACATACACTGTAATATAAATAGAAAACATAATAATAAAAAACCTATTTACGCTACAATAGAAGATCGATCTAATATATTGCTAAAAGCCACCTTCATTCTATTTCTCGACAGCTTAGAAGCTTTCTTAAAAGTCCTGTTTCCAATGCAATAAATAAATGGAGCTATGAATCCATCCATAAACGTCATTATTTTCATAACTAATGTTACAACTTTTTCACTTGTGGTTTCATGATAGTTGCGACGGAAACAGCTCTCGTGACACAAAGATTCCAGCAAATAATATATGCAACTTGGCCCCCAACATATAACATAACAAAATACAATCAAAAATACTATATTGGATTTGTTTAGATACACAAACCTTAGATTTTGAATTAACCTTTTTTTTTTTTCAACTGCTCGGGCTTTTTTAAAGATCATCAAATAAAGTATTATAGTAAAGAGCAATGGAACACTAGTATTACAAATTAACATAAATGCCGTCCAAAGTTTTGATGGAATGTAAGAACAGTCCGACCTATTGACTTGGTTTACAAATGGTATTAAACATAGCGCTATCGTATATATCCACATGATGACTAAAAATATACAGATTCGTTTTACAGTTATATAAACCCGATACTTAAAAGGATTTTGCAAATGCAGAAAACGATCAATTGTGACGATCATCAAGCTTAAACATGCTGCATAATTTGTTAACATGTAAAAAAATCGAAACATATCGCAAGTCAAAAATGGGATTTCAAAATTGCTCCGTTTCAATGTATACAACGGAATAACAATAACTCCTTGGATTAGATGCGCTAAAATTAAACTGCAAATTGCAACATTTGATGGTTTATGTAGCTTCCGACTTTGATATGTAATAATTAGACAATATAAATTAATAAAGATGATGAACAGAGACAACAAACTTAATCCAGTCAAAGAAAAAATTACTCGAGTCGAAGATGCAACCAATTTTGTAGTAATGTTTGTCAAACTTTTATTCATACTTTTTGCAACTAAATTTAAGATATTTTAAAGGTATTATTTTTCTTCTCCTAAGATTCTTATTTAATTAAAATCTCTGAGAGCTCTTCTATTTATATGAAAAAACTGGATTACTTTTACTAATTGTTTACAGTTATTTTAAATTGTCTATTATTAAAAATTATCCGCTTAATATCTGCTTTTTGTGTTGTAAGTTTTACGTCATGAAAGATTAAATACAATAAGTACAGATCAAATTAAGTTTGAACTTTCTTTGTTTCTGTTACCTCGTAGGAGCGCCCGAGTCATATATTAAAATTTGCTTATAGGCCACGAACATACAAACGTTTATACAACTACATATATTTAACGGTACTTTATCATTCATTTGTTTCTAAATTTCCACATAAAATAAAACTGTCTAATGTCTTTTTGTAAATTTGGCAATATAAAGAACTTAAAACAGCTTAGCTGTTGGTCTAGTCCCGCTGAGGCTAACAGATATCTATGCGCAGGTGATATATTAAACTATGCGCAGGTGTTTTTTAAAATTCTCATATCTTTTGCATTTATAACATAAGAAATTAAAAATATTGAAAATTAATTTTATATAAAATACCAAGTACAGCGGTATGAACATGTCAATTAATAATTGATATATTTTTTGTTCAAAAACAGTGAGGGATTTTAATATGATTCTAAATATAGCGAGTTGAGGTTAAAAAATAATAAAATAAATACTAAAACAAATGTGAGCAAACTCAAACCAAAAAATTCTTACACATATTGTTATTTTCTTACATATTTTATTTTCTTGTCATGTTTTTTGATATCATTAGTTTATGTTATTTGCACTTTATAATGAATTTCGCGGTTATTATAGATTATTATGGGTTTCTCTAATAAATATTTTACTTTTATTTTTAACAAAATTATTACAGTTATAAAAAAATATATTACCAACAAAGAGAGTACAATCAAATGTTTGAAACTTTTTGAAACTATAAAATTTAACGAACGAAAAAAAAAAAATTTAAATAATAAAAATTGTTTTCACCTGCTTGAAAACAATTTTTAAGTTGGCGCACTTTATTATTTAAATGCATTGACCGTTAATACGTAAAGTTTAATATTAATTTATTACACGAAATTATATATTCAATTTATTTTTTCTTCTAAAAAAAGGTAACTCATTCATATCGATACATTCTAATTACTTATGGTATCGAGACAAACTTTAATGAATACTAGGATTTGTCGTTAATAAATTATTTTACATCCGTGACACGCATTTTATAAAAATTATTACGTCAACGATTTCAAATATTCGTTAAGGATATTTATAATTAAATAAAAATTCTATTTTACTGAAAACAAAAATGGAGAACTATCAAACGGACTCACAAAATTAATAAATAAATAAATCAACGTCGTATGAAGCCCCAAACCAGTCTATACAACAAAACTGAAAAAAAAAAATGAGTTTGTATTAATATAAGCGATTTATGTAGTATTTCTTTGCATACAACAATAAATCATTCAATAGAACATTCATGATAAGCAGCTTATTAAACATTAAAGCCTGCAAAGTAAACAATTTTGTAGCATTATTTTTGGGATAGTCTATAAAACACAATTTTTGATCGTTTTATACCCCTAAATTCCCCCTCCCTCGTCAAAACCGTAAACACTTTAGTAACAAGTTCCGTATGAACCGTCACAAAACCACTAACCCCCCCTCCTCCCCATGACCTTAAAGCGTGACGTAGTTTATAAGACCACCCCTTTAAACTTTTTTGAAACGAACTTTTTATCCGACAATAAGGCAGACATAACTTTCATAATTTATTTTTCACTGATTGTTCATATAATTATCTTAGCGAAGTTAAAAAATGTTTTAAAGAAAACTAATGACAAAAGTTATGAATACAGAAATATTCAACCATTTTAAAAAAATCTGTTAATTTCATAGAAGAAACTAATAATTTTTTTAAGAATAATTTTTTTAACAGAAAGTTGGATTAACTCATCTATTTTTAACAACTCAAACTTTCATTTTCGTTAACTTTGAAATAATCTTTTTAAAAAGTTGTGGAGTACTTGTTTACGTAAAACAAAATGTTGCGTAATTGATTATTTAAAATTGATTTGATTTACAAATTGTTTAATGATTTGAAAGATTCAGAAACGCGTCTCTAGCGGCGATAAAGAAATTTACCTATTAAAAATCTGAGCGATTGTTAAATAACATTTAATAAAAAAAGTTATTATTGACCACCTGCAACGTAAGAAAGCGTGAATATTTTTTCTTTACTAAGTTGTTTTATCAATGAAGGTTAAAAAAAAAAAGAATTTTCAAACCAAAGATTTAAATATGTTTATTTTTTTTTATAAATTTTTTTTTTTTTTTTTTTTACATTTATTTTACTGTTTAACAATAAATAATCAAACAAATATATATACAAGAAAGAAAAAAATGTCCGTAAAACAAAGAAGACAGAAAAATCTTGTCAACAAGCACCGTTTTTGTATATACAGTGTAAAATATACACTTTTCTTTTTACAATGATCTTCATAAAATAAAGAGCTAAACAGACAGGGGCTCAAAGAAGATGAAGATGACAATACGTCATCGCAATCTTTTCATAGAGCCCTTATATAGACTTTGCATAAAATATAGGTATTAAATTAATTACCCTAATGGGCATAAAACTGCTGCGCTGATCAGTAAATCAAATAAAGATAAAATATAAAAAAATTAGAAAACAAATAAAATTTCTTGGTGGTTCCATTAACCACAAAAGATACTCAAATTTTAAAAACTTTTTTTTTTATTTAGAAACTTTTTTTTTATTTAGAAACTTAAATGAACTTAATAACTTTGCCATACATTTAAATCCTTTTTGATAACTATTTCATATATTTGGTCCTCGATATGCAATGCTATATTCAGTATATTTATTAAAGTTTTGAGGCAGTTTATAAGTGTTACTTATATTTGCTCTTAGATAATAGTTTTCGTTTATGTTTATTTCAAACTTGTTATTAAAGTTTGCAGGAAAGATATTATTTTTGAATTGATGCATAAAAATTAAATGCTATAGATATTTATTTCAAAAACATCCATCATATACATATCTTTCATAATAGGTTTAGCATGTTCACGCTTATTTTTATAGTAAACGATTCTGCACGCATGTTTTTGTAGACTATAAATTTTTTGAGTTTTGATGGTTGCGTACTTGGCCATGATATGTTTGCATAGCTGATGAAGCAATGAATTAGTCCAAACTAAATTAGTTTAAGACTTTGTTTAATGATATATGAGTGAACTCGATACATCATACTAATTGTAACCAAAAATAACGACCACAAAATTAAAAACTAATGAAGCAAAAGCTATATCCTTAAATATCTTACTTAAAAGTCAACTCGCTAAGTAAAATTAGCGAATAATAAAGCTTGCCCAGAAGTAGCGTTGGACCACGGATATCTAGCTTCTGAGGCAAACGCGCTTACCATTGCGTTACGGCTACTCAAATAAAGGGTAAATTGGTGTAAACTATAAAAATGATTATTAATGTATTAATAAGTGCTTAGTTTATAAATAATTAAATTACTTAATTTGGCAACAATTTTAAACCAAAAATTTCATATTACTATAAGCTGGTAGCAAATAATAATGACACAAAACTGCTTAATGCAACTAAGGCATAGAACAAACAAACTCGTAAAAAAAAAAAGCTGATAATTTAAAACAAAGCCAATTGGTTGTTAGTGGCAAACCGAAAAACTTTCAAGTTATTGGTATTTAATTTATGCAAATAAAGAATTCGTATTAAAAGTAATTTATTTATAAAGTTTACCGCCCTTGTTTTTAACTGTTTACGCTTTCTGAATAATTTATTATTTCAAGATGGTCCGAATAAGTACCGAGTATTTCAAAAAATTATTCTAAATACCAAAAACAGTTTTTTAAATGAGGCTAAAAGTTAAAATTATTTACGCAAAAACGACTTTGGTAGAAAAATTAACACTACCATAGGTTATCTAAATCTATTGTTAAACATACTCATTTAGGTGTGGTATTGAAAATAATAACTTCAATTTTCATAAAAAAATGGTTTTTCATGGATAATTTTCCCAAAAAATGTCTGATTAGAAATGTCCAGTTACATTCATTGAAAACAAACACCTGTACGCACTTTTATGAAAAAAATAAATTCATAGACTTATCTATAGCCTAGCTTCAAGGTACTTTGTGTTAAAAATTGCATCTTTTCTAAATAAAACTACGCTTGACGATTTATAATAGTCGCATTACTTTTACCTGATTATAATAGTGGTTAAAATAATCTTTCCATACATACCAAATATGTCATATTTTTTGATGAAAAAACTTACATACCCAATAAGAAAAAAAAAGTTGAAAAGACGTCTTTAAAAGTCATTCTTACGATGTCTTTAAGACGTCTTTTTTTATTAGATTATGCAAATCTAAAAGACATCTTATATCAACATTGAAAAGGCATCTTTTTTGTCTTTATCATTTCATGAAATGACAAAATGCGTCTTTAAGACGTCTTTGATTATCAATTATGCACTTCTAAAAAAGTATTTTTTTCTCGGGGTAGGAACGACTTTTTTGTCATACTTATTAGTATACTATAGTATCCTATACACTATAGTATTCCTACCTTTCATATATGAAAAGCTGTTTTTATCAAATGAAAATGATAATAGCTCTTCATACAAAGTATGACAAAAAGCTCTTTCCGATGCCGCGAAAAAAACCTCTTTTAAATGTTTTTTTCTCGGCATCGGAAAAAGAAGCATTTTCTACTTCTTTTATATGTTTAAACATAGAAGAATAATTTATAAATAAAACAACAGTATTGTTCAACAGAATATTTTTTCATCTTTCTTTTTCTTTTCTGTTTCTTGAGCAAACTCTGTTTCTTGGCGTTGTTGAATAAATTTAACTATTTCACGTCAAGAAATCCTTTCATACGAGCTGGTTACGACTTCTAAAAAACGAGTGAACATAAAAAACAGCCTATTGCTTAAATGTAATACAAAAAAACAATCAAAACTTGATTAGCTGAGTGGAACACATTAGACTTACCGACTATTAATTTAAAAAAAGCTGATCCTTTTAACCCCTCATGTTTCCAGCGCGGTCTTTTCTTTTTGAACCCACTAGATTAGATTGTGACAGGAGTCAAACGGTAAACAGTCTAAAAATATATAAAAATGAGTGTGCTAAAGAAATTTACGACCATCAAAATGACTGTACAACAATGTATTTTATTATGTAGTACTTAATCCAAGCTAAACATTAGCACCTCTCAGAGTTGCTATGAAAGCCAAGTTATTGAAAATAGTTATTGATATTTTTTTGTCTTCTATGACATGACTTTTTAATTGAATTTTGCTGAAATTAAGTGTTGCAGACTCATAACAATTTAAAAATCCGTTATTGACTAAAGACTATC